CCTCCCTCCTCCTTCCTCCCTTTCTCTCCCCTCCTCTCTCCCTTTTTCTTCATCCATCTCTCCCTCCTCCTTCCTCCCTCTCTCTCTCCTCCTACGTCCATCTCTCCCTCCTCCTTCCTCCCTTTCTCTCTCCTCGTCCTTCGTCGTCCATCTATCCCTCCTCCTTGCTCCTTCTCTCTCCTCCTTCATCCATCTCTCCCTCCTCGTCTCCCACTTATCGTTTGTCCATCTTTCACTCCTCCTTCATCCCTTTCTCTCTCCTCCTCTCTCACTTCTTCTTCATCCATCTCTCCCTCCTCCTTCCTCCCTCTCTCTCTCCTCCTTCTTTGTCCATCTCTCATCCTCCTTTCCCCCTTTCTCTCTCCTCCTTCTTCGTTCAACTCTCCCTCCTCCTTGCTCCCTCTCTCAGAGTCTCTCTCCTCCTTTGTTCATCTCTCCCTCCTCTTCTCCCACTTATCGTTCGTCCATCTTTCCCTCCTCCTTCCTCCATTTCTCCTTCCTTCCTTTCTTCCTCATTTCTCCATCCTCCTTTCTCCCTCCTCCTTCCACCGGTTTTTTTTTTTTTTGTTTTTTTTTTCCCATTTTTATGCCTGCTTGAACGTTGCACAGCAGGAGAGGATGAGCAGGCATTTGCAATTTCTCCCCCCCCTCCTTCCGGATTGCTGTTACCGCAATCTGATTTTCTCATCTTTTTTTTTTTTTTTTTTTTTTTTGTGGTATGCCCACTGCGATGTTGAAGTGTCGAGGGGGATTAGAGGGGACAAAGGGGAAGGGGGGGCGAGGGGAATGATTGGACGAGGAGCTGACCTGCGTTTGACGTTGTGGCCTTCCCCGCGATGCAGGTGACAGCGGCAATGGCTCCCTCTCATCCGAAGCAGCTGATCGAGGACTTGAAGCAGCACTTCACGGACGATGGTCCCGTAGGGAGGAACCCAGGAAAGGGGTCCAAGCACTGGATTTGCAAGTACTGCGAGACCCGCTTCGACGGGACGGCGTCGAATCTAAGAACCCACTTCCTTAAGAAGTTCAGCTTGGACCTCCTGACTAGACTGTTGTCCGTGGAGAAGAGGGCGAGAAGGGCGGAGGGGATTTGCATGGGGAAGCAGAGATCATTGACAAGGGGGGGAAAGAGTTCTACACCGACGAGCAACCTGTCATCTGCCAGCAGTCTGGTCATCGGAGCGATGGGTGCGGGTAGTGGAGCGGCTGATGCTGGCGGTGTACCATTGCAGGTGGCGACTTCTGGGGAGTCCGGTCGTGCAGCGCCCCAAACAGGTCGACCAATGAGGCAAACACTTATGGAGGATGCGGACAGCATCATTACTCGTAATGAACACACAAGTCCCTTCCTCGATAACTTCCTGTTCTGCACGAACCAACCCTTCAGTCCCGTTGACAATGAGTACTTCCTCGAGTTAATCGACGCGGTGAAGAAGGCACATCCGTCATGGTTGTCATACCACAGGGACGAGGCACGGACGAGGAGGCTGGACGGCGAGTTTGGAAGGACGAGAGCAGACGTGACCGCCATGACCAGGAAGTGGCATGTCACGGGCTGCATGCTTCAGATGGACCGTTGGTCTGATAAATGCAACCGCCCCCCATCTAAATGTGATGGTGTCGTCCCCGATAGGGACTGTCTTTTGGAAATCAGTGCATGGAAGGGAAAGAGAAATACTCGGCGGCGTATTTCAAGATCCTTGATGGAGTGGTTGGCGTTGTCATGGACAACGTAAGAGTGTGTGTGAAGGCGGGTAAGATGGTGGAGGCCGCTTACCCTCGGATTTTTCGTGTCGGCCGCACTGCGCATGCCCTCGATTAAGCACTCGAGGACATGTACAAGCAGCTCGGTTGGCTGGCGGTGGTCGTCGATGCCGGCAATGTAGTTGGCAAATTCTTCACAAATGTGGATAAGGCGAGGGCTTTGTTCGGCAAATTATCGTCGAATTCGAAGTTGAAGAGGCCGGCGGTCACGCGATTTGCCACAAGTCACGACATGCTGGTTTCTTTGAAGAGAGGGAGGAATGCACTGGAGAAGTGCGTTTGCGACACGGCGTGGGTGGACAAGATGGTGAGGGCGGATCAGCTCGCCACTTTCCGTGAGGTCACCTCCATCGTGTTGGGAAGGGACGGGTTTCGGGACAAGGTGGGCAAGGGCCACAAGGCCCTCGCAGTGATGTCTCCTGTTGTGGAGCTGTTGCGCCTGGTCGACGGGTCAAGCGCAACAATGTCGAAGGTCTACTTCAAGATGAATGCGCTCGTCGAGAGAATGCGCGACCTCGACTGTGTCACCCCGGGTGAGAAGGCCGACATTGAGGACATTCTAATGCATTGGTGGTCGTTCATAACGAGCAAGCTGCACTGTGCGGGTGCCTTCCTTGACCCCAAGTCCGACATAGTGCATTGGCAGAGCGGAATCGGGAGGTACCGCGCGGGGTTCAACATTTGCAATGGTTGTACTCGTGGGCGCCAAAAGATAAACCCACCCTCGACGAACTGAGCTGGCAAGTTGATGACTGGACCAAACTACGTGGGTCATTCAACACACGAGAGGCAGCGGAGGCAGCGCGTGTGAAACCGGCGGCCTTGTGGTGGGAAGCATTTGGGGGAAAGTTGGACCTTCTGCAGCCGCAAGCCGTCAAATTGCTTGGCCAAGCAAGCTCGTCCGCTGCATGTGAGCGAAATTGGAGTTTGCATGAGCTCATTTTTGGAAGACGGTGCACGAAGCTCATGCCGGAGAGACTGTCAAAGCTGGTGTTCAACAATTTGAACACCCAATTGATCCGGAGTTACATCCGCGGCGGTAAGGAGGAGGTCCACATCCCTTGGGAGGATGACCGACCGGTGGAGGCTGAAGTTGAGGAGTGGTACAACACGTGGGTGGTGACGGCGGTGTCCAATGACGATGACGCAGCAGACACGCTCGATGACGCGGAGGTGGAAGAGGAGGATGGGGACGAGCCACTTACGCGAACTTGGCTGCAAAATGACGAGTGGGATGACCAAGAGTGTGAGGCGGAGGACATAGCCCTCGTGGGCTCGAGGGAAAAGGACTGGCACGAGTGCACAAAACCCGGCTGCTACAGGGAACGCGAGCTGCGGAGGAAATCTGGCCATTTGCAGCCCTTACTGTCGGTGTTGTACACGAAAGAGGAACGGGCACAGTTGTTGAAGGCACGAGCTGCCGGAACATGGTTGCACGGTGCAGGGGAAGCGTCCGCCAGCAGAAAACGTGGAAACAAAAAAGCGCAGCACGAGCACGTGGAGGAGGTGGTTCCGGTGGCGAAGGGGAGACGTGCGGACGGAGAGCCGAAACGCAAGAGGGGCCGACCCTCAAACGCGGAGCTGGCAGAAAGGAAAGCCCAGAAAGCGAAAGCGAAGGCTGCAAAGCCAGCTGCAGCAGCAGCAGCAGCGAGAAGTGCGGCAGCCAGAAAAGGAAGGAAGAAAAAGGCACGCAGCAATGTCATTGACGATGACAAAAGCGGCGATGATGCGGCGGCAGCAGATGACAATGAGGCAGCAGCAGCAGGCGACGAGGCGGCAGCAGCACCATCGTCGGCATCCTCATCTTCCTCGTCGGACGATGAGGATGCAAGTGGGAGTGGGGCGGAGTCCATGGAACACGGTGAAGGAGACGGGGACGGCACGGGTGAGAATTCGGAGGATAGCGAGGGGCAATCCGGGGAGGAAGAGGAAGGAAACAGCGGGGAGGAGTAGGAGAGAGCATCAGAGCTCACTCCTGCAAACTTTGAAACTGGGTAGTTTTGTTGTCAATTCCAGAACTTTGAACTTTCTGAACTTTGCAAACATCGCATTTCCGACACTGTGAACTTTGCAAAGGTTTTTCGAACTTTTTTTTGTGTTGTTTACTTGCACATGTCGTCTGCGTGTTACGGGGTCATGATTGGTGATCTCATGATGGTGTGCTTCAATGTGCTGTGTGTGCCTGTTATTTGCCCTGCGTCTGTTGTTGTGCGCACTGTGTCCCCACTGGGTTGTTCATACCACTTGCAGGTACGTATTGCCAACCTCCTCATTCCGCATTTCGCCCCTCCGTTTGCCTGTTCGAAATTTTGCTTGTGTGTGTGTGCGTGTGTGTGTGTGTGTGTGTGTGTGTGTGTGTGTGTGAGAGAGAGAGAGAGAGGGAGATGGAATCCCTGCTTTCTGCTCAAATCCGCGGGGGGATCACAGAAAGGCATGTTTTTGACTAGGCAACGCGCAATGCAGCAGGGGGAGGCCCGAGATAAATAAATAATGCGGCGTATCTGGCGCACCACCCAAGGGAACAGGCCACAGTTGCACGCGCACCAGTGCACGGCGTATACAGATGTGTGCATGGCGCATGGCGCAGTCAGATGCGCGATGCACGCACATCTGCTCCACGCGCACGGCACACCGCTCATGCGCAGCGCATGGCGCAGCGCATACATGCGCCACAAGTATGCTTATAGCTCTATAAATGAGTCTGTGTTGCACGACGTACACGTACGCGGCCCCCGCGCACACACGTACACGTATGCACATGCGCACGTACATACTGCGTACATGTGCGCCTGTACGTCAAAACGAGCCGCGCGTATGTGGCCGGGGGATCATTTTCCGGACCGTTTTGTGGCCTTCTCGGGGTCGAGGGTTACAGTGGGGTCATGGCCCGTGGGTGGGTGCAGCACAAGCCGGGCTGCAAGGCGGGGCGGGGGGAAGACAGGCCTGATGCAAATTTCAAATTAGTGGCGGGACAGTCTACACCCTGCCCTGCCTTGCAGCCCAACCCTGCTGTGCAGTGCTGTCTCCCCCAACGCCACGCACCGTGCCGTTCGCAATCCCGCTTGCCGAGGCCGTTGTCGGCACGGAGCGGTCGCCATCACCGTCGTCAGGGAGGGGTCGCCATCACCGTTGCCACGGAGGGGTCGCCATCACCGTTGCCACGGAGGGGTCGCCATCACCGTTGCCACTCTTGCCGGGGTCGCCGTTGCCGTCGCCATTGCCGTGAAGGTAAGTTGGTGTTTGTGTGTGTGTGTGTGTGTGTGTGTGTGTGTGTGTGTGTGTGTGTGTGTGTGTGTGTGTGTGTGTAWTTCTGTGTATGTGTGTGTGTGAAAGTCTGAAGACTCTGAAAGACTGAATACATGTTGTTCCCCCCCCCCTGAGGGAAGGGCCCGACACAACAGATATATATTTAAAAAAAAAAAAAAAAAAAAACGTACACGTACGCAGGTTTCTGTCACGTACGCGTACGCGAGAATACGTACGCGTACACGTACAGGATGCAACACAGAAACGAGTATTCACCAAAATCCCTTTTTTCTTACATCTTTCAAGTTTCCCTTGTAGTCCTAAAAAATTGTCCTATTTGAGCTTCGCTTTTTGCAAATCTACTGAGAATGACTTATAGCCATATAAGAGGATTTTGCAAGAAAGGGTTTTTTTGCACATTTTGAGGAACAGTTGCCTTTTCACGTCGGTTTTTGCCTCCTCTATCAAAAAACAGTAAGAAACGCTCTCTTATTGTGTAAAAAATAACAGTTTGACATTTACTTTTTCAATCTATAAAAAATGTGAGGTTTTGTCGTTTTGTTAGGTTTTCACGAATCCAGTGTTTATGATGTCTAGCAACTTGGCAAGTAAACTACCAGTACCTCGCCCAGCTATCAAGTCTGAGGCTCGGACTACCATAGCCCGATCATTCCCGAGCCTGAAACGTTATTGTTGAGCCTCGGACAACCCGTAGTACATCACGAAAAAACACAAAAAAACATATAACATTCTGCAAAAACAAAAACAAACAAAAAAAAAAGAAAACAGGCATGCCCAATGAAAACTCATCTTCCTCGAAAAAGAGGAAGATTCATTCTCGTGGGAGGTTCTCACACGGAGAGAGTGAGAGAGAGAGGGCATCAGAGAGTCTACTGCCGAGTTTGGTGCACCAAACTCGGCTTCCGGCACTGTGCATCCCTTCCCCCAAAAACTCTCAAAATGTGCAAAATGAGAATGAACTTCCCGCTAGAACATGGGTAGATGCGCCCTCTCTCTCTCTCTCTCTCTCTCTCTCTCTCTCTCTCTCTCTCTCTCTCTCTCTCTCTCAACGTCCAAACGAGAATTCCACGTTATCGCAGAAGATTCGTTCTCGTTTGGACGTTGAAAAACAAAAAGAGAGAGAGAGAGAGAGAGAGAGAGAGAGAGAGAATCTTCCGCGCTATCGTGGAAGATTCGTTCTCGTTTAGACGTTGTAAGAGAGAGAGAGAGAGCGTGTCAGAGTGTCTGACGCCGAGTTTGGTGCGCCAAACTCAACGTCAGACACTCTCTGACACCCTCTCTGACACTCTCTCTCTCTCTCTACTCTCTAACACCCTCTGACACCCTCTCTCTCTCTCTCTCTACTCTCTGACACCCTCCCCCTCTCTCTCTCT